GGGGCCGCTGGCGGCAGCCGGGCGCGCGCGGGGCCGTTAGCGGCAGTTAACGGCCGTTAGGAGCCGTTAGGCCTGGCGCGGGGGAGGGGCGAAGAGRGCGAGGGCCTGGGAGGCCCTCGCGGAGCAGCGGCCCTTCCCGCGCTCCAGCCGCCTCCTTCTCCTCCATTATTAGCGCTGTTATTGTTGCGTTTTCATTTATAAGTTTTCTGCTTTACGGATTCTTCCSTTTTACCGTGAGAAACGGCCCTGTAAGGGGCGCTCGGGACACACAAACGCAGCCGGGCGCGTGCGGGCCGGGCAGGCCCCTTGGAGGAGTCCCCTCCTCTGCGCGGCTTTGCTGCGAAGCGCCGGTGTCCCTGGACCCCGTAAATGGAGCTGGATGCCCTCGATGGCCAGCTGATTGTTGCGTTTTAGCCYCCAGATTAGTGGAAAGAGAGATAAAGTTGCTGCTTGTGTTTACAAGAAGTAGTGTTTYGAGGCTCTCTGATCCTGTGGCAGGTCAGGGCAGCCTGGAGGATGAAGCTGAGACCTCAGCCAGCCAACGCCAGGAGCTTCTTTCAAGCTGCAAGTTAAAATTATGCCCTGTCCATGTAAATAATAGACTTTATTGCTTTTGTTTGGGTTGCTTTGCCCTGCTAAATCTTGCTTAAAGGTTTTCATCTTCAGAATTAGAAGTCAAGCTCCCTCTTTCAAAAATCTTTCCTCCTTGTGAGAGTGACATGTTTTTCCTGATATAAGCAAGAATATAAGGTTAGACTGTCTTTAGATAGCCCTTTTTTTAAATAGGTAGTGCAGCTAAAGGTCTGTCCCTCTTGAAGACTCATTTTCCAGTGCGATGAACCTCTCGACTCCTCAGACTTCAACTGAGTGGTTATTTAAAGTGAGCGCCTGGACTAACACCCCTTTAGAGCTTAACGTTTGTGGCCTGTGTTAAAAAAATAACACTGCTGTGAGWTTTCTAGACAAGTGAAGACTTTTAAGATGCAACTAGCTTTGTGTTTTGAAGGGAGCAAAATATATGGGCATTCTTAAATCAATCTAAGGCTTATTTTTTTGCTGTCTGAAGCACAATCTAAATCTCATTATTAGCAGTAGAAAGGCCAAGACTCGTGCATAGGATTTTCTGTAGTCAGGTTTGTTGGATATGTTTAAAACTGGATGATTAGTGTATTTTTTTTTTTTTACTATCAGTGTGAGAAGAGTCACTGAGCGTTGGCAGTGAATCTAACTTTGATGTTGGGAAATATGAGATATTATTTATCATAAACAGTCTGTATTTTACACATTTTTTATGTTTTTTTTTAAGGCTGTTCAGTACCTGAAACAAAATTGACTTTACATTAGGTCTCTGTTCGTTTGTCTTCTACTTGTATTTCTTCCCAAATAATTCTTTTTGTTTGTTTGTTTTTTATCTTACAGCAATTGGAAGACTGTGTGAAAAATGTAAGTATAACTTCTGCATATAGTTGCTTGAGAACATTGGTGCATGACTAGAGGGTACAGTTTGGATTTGGGAATTGGGTACTATTCTTGCTTTACTGCTAACTTCTGGCAGGAACTTGGACATAACACTCTGAAATGGTGAGAGTTACTGCTCTGCTGCAAGCATAAATCGATGAATATTTATAAAGATAAGTGCTCAAATAGWTTGCCGCACAAGTGTATGTTATTTCAGTGTATATTCTGCCAACATCTTGAGTCACTGAAGCTGTAATGACTTCTTGATGGGTTCCTTGTAACCTGTTTGTAATGTAAAATGATCAGCCTGATCACTTCAAAGCAGGAAGACGAAAAAGGTATTTTTCAGAATCTGACTTCTTCAAGCTTTCCCAGAATCTAGGAGCACAAGAAATGGAGAACAAAGCCTCCTGGAGCTAAAGCAGATTAAAAACCACAGAAGCTAATGCAGTTTTCCACTGTGGAAGAAGGAGATTGCTGAGGCATTAGAGAGGCACAAGATGAGGCATCTTGTAGGGGCACTGTACAGATGGAACCAAATGACTCTTAACTCATAAATAGCGTAAAATAAGTGAAGCGAGGAGAAACTTTGAGGCAAAGGAATTGTGTTCCAAGAACAATTCAGCAGTGAAAATATAATGCCTCTTAGTAGTAGCTGCGGGCTGTCACGATGGAGATTTAAGAGCAGGTTAGATGAGCTGTTTGGGGGAGTTAGGATTAGATGGCCTGGGAACTCTGGTAATAGGATACAAAGCCTTTCATCTCTAGGTCAGCTTCTTGGATAAGGTCCAGGACAGCAAAGACTGTCAATGGCATCTGGTGACTGGCTGTATGATATGAGTGCTTGAGTTTCACTCAGTTCCTTGTGAGAGAGCCGCTTTCCAGAAGTTGCTCTTGATGTTTATGCCAGTTTGCCTTTTCCTTGGCCTTCTCACAGTCGAAGGATTAAAAAGCCCACAAGTACAAGCTCTTATCTCATCTCTTTGAGGACACCAGCTCCAGACAGTTGTCAATGGGGCACATTGTAGGGAAGGATGCTGGTTCTGTGGGTCYTGCTGCTTCTTGACTTTTTTTTCCTCCCCTCAAAAAAGTTAAGGAAAAGCTTTACAGTAAAGGTAGTGCTATGATATAAGCAGGTGTTGGTTAAACACAGCGGATGTAAATTAAGCTCTCCTCTGATTGTCAATACAAGATTTCAAGATTTAAATCTAGAAAAAAAAAAGAGGGGGGAACAAGTACCCTGCAATACTCAAGTCCGCGTGCAAGTACAAAAGGCTCCCTATGATAGTAAAATAATTTCTGCTGTATTATCTTGGACTGTACAAGCAAGTTCTTTGACCTGGAGGCCGTTTTTCTCCTACGTGGGGGTGCAGAGGAGGGCGCTGTGCAAGCAGCGGGTGTGCTGTGCTTTCAGGCGATGGCAAGTGTGTGATCTGCGACTCGTACGTGCGGCCCTGCACGCTCGTGCGCATATGCGATGAGTGCAACTACGGTTCGTATCAAGGGCGCTGCGTGATCTGCGGAGGGCCGGGAGTATCCGATGCCTACTACTGCAAGGAATGCACCATCCAGGAAAAGGATGTAAGTTGTCATCCCGTCTCCTATTGAAATGGTTATGTGTCTCTAATAGCTTAGAACTAGTGAGATCAGCAAGCTTTGGCACGTGGGATACATGGGTTCTGCTGCCAATGTTGCCGCTGTTTTTCACTGCATTGCATCTTTTTGCCCCTCTTGCTTTTTCCCTGTCTTTGTAAAACATGTAGAGAGGGCCTAGGAAGCAGTGCCCTGGTTCTCCTGTGCCCTTCATCCCACAGGGTCTCTCAGTACTATGCWGTGCATATTTGTAGTTCACTTCCTCCATGCACCACTTGTTGCTGCGTTACGTTGCTTTCTCACTCATCTCAATCTGCTCTACCAGAGTCAAAAGTACTTCAGACTCTGCAAAGGCTGATGTTTTGGTAGGAGCAGAACGTAGCTAAAAGTCTGTGATCAGACCCTGAGCAAGGACGTGTGTGGTACTGTAAGACCTACGAATCCATAAACCAGGTTGTTTTCATTTGGAGTAGGAAGTAACGTTGGATATGGAGTCCCGTGTCCTTGCTCTTTTAATATGGTTCTCTGCGTGTATAATTTCTGGGATCTTTTTTTTTTTTTTTTTAATCCTTATCTGGAGTGGCCTTTATTGTAAGGACTTCTCCCAGCACTTTCTTGGTGTAATGATCCGGTATTTTTGTAGTCGCTGCAGTTTAATCTTGCCATACTGAAAGATAAAGAGAGCCRGTGGACTTCTGCAGTGAGGCAGCTGTGCTTGCTAATATCCTTTCCAGTGAACGCGGGATGTGAAGAATATCACCTGCAAAGGAAGTAGGAGAAAGAGCTTAAGCAGAAGCAAGAACACAGCTCTTAACAAGAGCTGGAGTATCCCCACAACAGGGATCTGATGGCTGTCTGAGTGTCTTTCTTTTTGGTATTAATAAAGGACTCTTCCTTTTTAATATAAATAAGGCCCAATGACCGAGACACTCTTTTCCTTTGCTAATGGCATCTCCAGCGCACCGTGATGTTGGCAGTGAATATGCTGAGGGAGAGGTTCTGATCTGTTCAGAAGAACAGGTTCGTCCGAGTTGCTGGTTTGATTTTCTGCAGCACCTCCATTTTCCTCTAGAGGCCTCCTGCGAAATTCAGGACAAGGACAGGCCCAGTATTAATTTAGTCATAAGATCTGACAACCATAATTATCTTACTATCTAAATGACGTATTTGAGTATAAATGCTGTGATGGTGGTGCTGCCTCTTTCTTTAGAAATGCTGTGAGAAACAATAAATAGTTCTTATTAACTTATCTTTGGAACCAAGGCACTAGATTTGATGAGACGTGAGACTGTTTAATTTTTACTGATTCCTACGGRTGCTGTGCAGGTATTTTTCATAACCCAGCCTAGCTCTCCTGTAACTTGTGTGTGGGTCAGATCAGAAGCAGCCAGTTGCTCTGCAAAGCAGGATTGTACAAAATTYAGAGCTGAAGCAGCAAGAGACCCACAAGTCAGAACTGAGGTACTCTGACAAGTGGGTGAAGACTGCTGTGAGTGAAGACAGTGGATCTGTACCAGCAGACTCAAACGTTAGGGGCTGTTGCAGATGTGAAGCTGCAGATCTGAACTAGCTTGGCTGGATTGACTTGCAGAGCTGACAAGTGCTGGAACAGCTTTAGGCTGCCCGGAAAGCTGAGAGGTACATGTCACCCTTGTGGTAGCTGGGGCTGATAGGAACAGGAAAAGCAGATAGACAGAGCTCTGTGTGAAGTTCTAACACCTCAAGGTTGGAGCCAGAGCAAGTGACCTTCCTTTGCTTCCAAACAAAGTGARATGGGTAAAGGAGCAAGGAAGGCAGTTTCAAAATGGGTGAGGTGGAATGGCCCTGGGCACAAAGCGAAGGGCCTGGTTTCTCTCAGTTTATCCCGATGGAGGGASGTAGGAGGTATTATTTCCACTTAAATTCTATTTGTAGCTAGAGCCAAAATCCTGCATGTTATGTAGGACTGCTGCAAGTTGCAGAAAGCAATCCTTTCTTGGGGACAGGAACATGCTCATATGCTGCCTTCTTGTGAGGAGGTGGAAAAAATGAACAGAGCCCTGCAATAAACCTGTCAAGTTTGTCACCGACTCCCTGGGCTGTGGGAGGGAAGACTTGGAAGAGTCCTGCTACTGAGTTTCAAAAGCAGATCATGAGATAATGGGTTGTGGCAGACATACGGGGAAGGAGTGAATTCTTTTTCCCCCTCTCCTGCTATTTCTGCTGTGCTGACTCTCCCCACGAGGCTGCTTCTCCCGCACAGCCGCAGATACTGGTGGGGCTGCTTGTTGCAGCTTCCACAGTGGCTCGCATCTGCCCAGGGCCTTTCTAAATCTAATCCATGGGGCCTTGCACCACTATTAGGAACATGTGTTTCTCTGCCTGCTGTGCCCTACAGCGCAGCTGCCATCGCCAACTGCAGCGTTTCACCATCAAGTGGCCCTCTGGCAAACAGAGAGGCAAATACTTCTTATCYGTATTCAGCTGCTTGCAACTACACCTGTCCATATCCCTTTCCTTCTTTCTGGGGCTGGCTGTCTTGCTCTCTATGGGAGCTGGGATATGAGACCTTCTCCGTGTAGCTGCTGTGCACAGTTCTCCTTCAGGATGACCAGAGCCTCTGCAGGAGTCAATCCAGAGTGCAGGAAATCAGAGGTTCAGTTCAGCTGTCGGAACTGAGAAGGGGTCTGTAAACACAAGAATGGTTTGGTGACAGCTAAAGCAACCAGATTCTTTGTCACTAACATTAGGAAAGTTTATTCCTCTGGTCCCTATAAATTCCATGTATCTTAATTTAGAAAGAATCTGGTCTTGAGGCACTGAGCACCCTCCTYGTTAATCAGCATTGCCGATGTTATACAAGCTGTTTTCTGCCTTCATCCTGAAGGAGACTATGTGCTAGAGCAATGTCAGAAAGTTGTCTATCCTCTTCTCTTCCCACTCTTTTACTGGTAGTAGCCAGGGGAGTTGGAGGGCAATTTGCCCACACARGGATCTGAGAGGAGCATTAATGGCAGGGCAGGGGGAGGGAATTGGGGACCTGCTGAAACTTTTGTGTGTGATAATATTGTTTAGTTTGTCCACGTCCTACCTCTTTTTTTTTCTTCTCTCTTTTTTTTTAATTCCAGCGAGATGGTTGTCCTAAGATTGTCAACTTGGGCAGCTCCAAGACAGATCTCTTCTACGAAAGGAAAAAGTACGGCTTTAAGAAGAGGTGATCCTACCTGTGTGTGGCTGCAGCTCYGGTTGGGTTGGCGAGAAGGTTTTGGAACATCTCTGGACTTTTTTTTTTTTTTAATTGAAAACAAAGTTGATCTATTTTTCTGAAACAGTACAAATTCAGTAGCTTGGTTAAGGTTGGAGAAGTTACAGACTGAGTGGGGACCATGGCTAGAGCTGAGTATCAGAAAGGGTGGGTGGGAATTGCTGTCTTCCAGCTTTCCARAAGCTTTGCTGGTTAACTCAGTAAAAGCCAAGAGCCCCTTCTGGGACCACCCTGCATCAGTTCTCACCAGCCCCCTCTCAGTTAGTAGAAGTCTCCCCACAAAGCACTGCTGAGGACAGAGTGCCAGCCCCCGTGTCCGACCCCCAGCCCAGGATCTTTCCCTGCTGCCCTTCTTTGTAGGGAAGCTGGCAGTGCTCGTGGCTGGCGCGGCCTCGGCACAGCACAGCTCTTCTGTGCTTTGTCTGATGGATTAGTCCAAGGCCCTGTATGTAACTCTTCCTGTAGCATGCACACCAATAAAGCTTTGACTTTGGGTTTTTATATTTTGTATAACAGGAGGATTTCTCTCTGGTCATTCTCTTCYGAGCTTCTCTGGAGCTTTCTGGGGGTGCCCAGGGTTAGTCCAGCCAGAACTGCACCGTGGCTTATCTGGTTCCTGGCGGGCTCTGCCTGTGGCCGTGCGACCTTGCTGCAAGGAGCTCCAGGGAACGCGACCGCCTTTGTGTGCGGGTGATCCCAGCCACTGATCGTTTTGTCCCGTAGCGTGAGGATCGCTGAGCTTGTAACCCTTACCCGAGCTAACGCGGCTCTGGGTGTTGTTTCACCGTGCAAACATCCCATCCCTGTCTAAAACCTCCTAAGCTATTTGACTCGCTGTCCTGTTCTTGTGAATAAGTTAAAGCCTTCCCYGCTGTAACTGGAAACCAACTATTGTGTTTGAGGCTACTGGCTGTATGCGGGCTGAAAACCAGAGCCAGCTTTTTTTGTCCATGGCAGCGCGAGCTCCGAGCGCTCTGTTTGCTCAGCAGAGGCCTGTGCACCGGGAGCGTGACCCACCGCGCTCCCCAGCCCGCGAGCTAAAGGCCAAGCTCTCCAGGCCCCACGGAGCCCCTCTGCTTGGAGCAGAGTCCGTGTGCTGCGCTGGCAAGATTCCCTTTGCACAGCCCCAGCACGTAGAGCCCCTGTTATCCCTCTTCCAGTATTTCAGTTGTTCCCTCAAACTTCTCTCTGGTSTAAATGCCTCTTCTGCAGACCCCCTCCATGTAGGTGTTTGAGCTTTAACATTTAACAGTTTGGGGCAAAAAGGAAAACGGGAAACCAGCAGGCAAGATGGGATCATCCCTCCTTTCAGAGTCACTTTGTGCTGCAGCTCAGCTGGCTCTAGCTGTGCCTGATCCTACAGCTCTATCAATATCACCTTTGTTCCCCCAGCCTTCCCAGCTATTTTACCATTTCCTTTTCCCAAGCTTTTTTGTGGTCCTGAGAGTATGTATCTTCCCCTCATTCACTTTTGTTTCCTTACTTGGCTTTTGGTTAATTTTTACTGTATATGGGAATGCCATTTGCCAGCAYGTTAAGAGCAACTGGTTTGTTCTTCTAGCAAACCCACTCCAAGTATTTCACCTGGAAAAAAAACAGCTGTCTCTTGATCCTGACTGGAAGCTTGTGTCAGGGCCCATCAYCAGCTATGTTATATTCCTTATTTCTTTAAAAGCAGCCCATGACACTCAGATTTGTTTTTCTTTGTACTAGTAACTCTATCACTTCAATCCAGAACTTGCTCTCAGACAGGCCACCCAGATGATCACACTGTGAATGCAAAAGGTTTATACATATCCTTTCCTTCTGGGAAGTTCCTGAAATTCCAAAAGCTGTTCCGTGAATGCAGAGGGCACACAAAGTTTGTGTTTTTTGTGGGGTTTTTCTTTTTTGGCTCTTGGAGTTGCTGTCCCTGGTGTAGGGACTCCTGGAAGACCTAATTTTAGAGCAGCTCTTGTTTCTGAGCGTTTAGCAGGATCAGCCAAGCAGGGGTTGCCATAGAGATAAAGAGTTCCCATCCTTCTCCCCTGAAAAACAGAAAAAAATAGGAGGTGATGGCAGTTATTTTCTTGACGCCGCTGGTCCCTTCTCCCGCTGCCTGCTGTGTCTGCCGCTCCGCGTTCTGGCAGCGCGGGCAGCTAAGCTGCCATTTCGAGTTGTTCTGAGCGGCTGCGCAGGGCGGAGAGAGGGGAAGAGGCTCCTTCTCCCTCCGCCTTGTTTGCTCGGACAGCGCCGGGGCGAGTGCCAAGCGCTGCCGGTGCCCGGATCAGCTCAGCRCCGCTGCCCTGCTGCTGCCTTCGGAGCACGGAGGGGACCTTGCCCTGACGCCGCTCGCTCCGACACGGGCAACGGGCACAGCTGGCGCGGCCGTGGTTTCTGTCCAGCAACGCATCCGATGCAGCCAAGGCCCCTAGAAAAGTGCAGTCTTCTTCATGAGAAAGCGATAAGCAAAATGAAACTCACTGGAATAGCACTGAGCCAGTAGGAGAAAAAAAAATAAAGGATTTTCTGACAGTACAGGAGGCTTAAGACAGATACTAGAAGGGGATACTACTTTTTCCTTCGGGGGAAAAAACRGAACAGTGAATGTCCTGCTCGTGCCTGCCCGCCAGGCTCTGGAAGGGCCTCCTGGGGCGGCAGCGGAGTTTGAAGGAGTCGGAAGAGGCCGTGCGGGAAGCGCTCGCGTGGCAGCCGCAGGGAGGACGCTCCGTACACGGAGCTAGACGCGTTTTCCTGCTGATCCCTCTCTACACGAGGGCCGCTAGTTGGTTTTCCTCTTATCAGGAGGAGGTTATGCAATAAGTGTAAAAAAATCCTTTTATTTCCAGTGTTTACACTGGGGAAGGAACGCGAGAACTCTTGGCCTGTTGAGCAACGGGCTCTTCGCTGYCAGCACTAACAAGGCTTCCCTCGCTTCGGAAACAGGGATACACGTGCCTGCGGAGTGGGGACCCGCCACGGCATGGTAACGCAGCAGCAAACTCAGCAAATAGCTCTGGAACAGTGCGAGGGACCGCGTGGACCTCGCCACGACCGCGCGCTCRAGCCCCAAGCGCTGCCCCTTTTTAGCAAGCCCCAAGGTGGGTGAGTGTCCGCGGGCTTTGCCGGCCACGGCTGCAGCCTCGCTCCTGGGGAAACCGGCTCTCCGCGGGCGCTGCCGTTTTCTCCTCGTGGGCATCAGCCGGAGAGGCCGTTTGCCGATTTCAAGGGCAGGAAGGAATTTTTCATTTCCTTGAGGCCGTCACCCGCGTGGAACGCGAGGCGCATCCAGGCGCTGGGAGCGTTCATTAGGCTCAATTACCACCCGGCGGGCTGACGATGGTGCCCTTCCTCGGCGTGAGAGGAGCCGGCCGAACCAGCTCCATGCTGGCCGCTCCGGGATTCCTGCCCTCTCGGTCCGGACGCGGGAGCTCGGCGCTGACGTCGCAGCGCCAYGGGCGAGGACGCGGGAGCGGATGCCGTGACCGGAGCCTTGCGCAGGCCGGTAATTAAAGAGCACCGTCAAGACCCCGGTATTTTAAAGAGTTCCAGGGCGCAACACCCTCTGAGTAACACCTTATTAAAGCAACAATAGAATTTAAGAAATGTAATTGCTTTTTTTTTTTTCCCCCCTTAACAATGCCAAAAATAGCCCCGTCATTTTAATTTCCTGGTCGTTGGCTGGCAGCGTGATTTTTTTGTTTGTTTGCTTCCAGCAAGGCAGGGGAGCGTTGGGAAAAGAAAAATAACTAAATAAATCCATGCCCGGGATCCTGCCTGCACCGGGAGGAGCCGGGGCCTAGTAAGGGCCGGGACGGCAACGGGCGCTCGCAGCCCGGCCGCGGTGCCAGCTCACGTAACCGCTTATCTCGCGCTGAGGCGGGGCGAGCCCTGCCCGCCCCACGCAGAGGAAACCCTAAAACACTCTGCCCTTAACACGGGCTGGGCGCAGSGCCTGCAGCGCGGCCCGCGGACGCCATGGCGGGCGCCAGGAACTACAACTCCCAGCAGCGCCCGCGCCGCGGCGCCCCGCCCGCACACGCCCCCCCGCCTCACTGGCTGCCGCARCGCACCAATGGGCGCGCGCCGCCGGGCGCGGCCGGCCAATGGGAGGGCTGTTGCTAACACGCCGCAGTTATTTTTAGCACGGGCGCCGCTCGCGCACCTTGCGGCTCCGCCGCGGCCGGGCCGGCCCTACGCCGGCGGCAGCGCACAGGCGCGCGGCGGCCAAGTAGTGCGCGGGCCGCGAGGGGGCGGGCCCCAGCACCGCCCGCCACCCCCCTCGGTGGCCGGTGCCGGTCGGGCTGGGCCGGGCGGCCTCGGCCTCCGCTTTTGCCATGGCTGCTCGTTGCCTCCCGAGGCGCTGGGGCCGGGAGGGCCCCGCTCGCTGTCCCAGAGGCGGCTGCCGCGGTGAAACCGCGTCTCGCTGGGCCCCGCCTGCCCCGCGCCTCCGCGGCGGGTGGGCGGGGGGCCCGCGAGCCCCCCAGCTCCCCAGGGCTGCCCCTGCCCCGCGCTCCCCCTCACGGGAGCGGCGCCCGCCCGCGCCGAGCGCCCTCCTCGCCCCGCTCCTCCGGCTCGGCGCGGCCACCGCCAACGCGCCCTGAGCGGCCTGGGGAAATCCCCAGGCCGGCCCCACCTGGCTGCCCCGTCCCTCTCCAACCAACCCCTCCTTCCCGCTCCTCAGGGGCAACACGGCGCTGCGAAACCCAAGGCGGGGGGCGCT